CCGCGGAGGAGAGGGCGGGGCGGCTGCTCCAGCAGCTAAACGTGCGGGCGCCGTCCCGCCCGCCCTGACCTTCGGTGGATTTCACAGACGTATGCGTGAACATACGGGCGCGCACACACACCTGCCTCCTCCCTGCAGGTGGGACGGGCGGTTAGAAGACTAACCTCCGTGCCTCCCACTCCTGGTGGAGCGGAGGTGCCGGCGCCTCTGGGCTGAGTGTTTGGTTTGTGCAGGGTCTGGCCAGGGGTGGGGGCTGCTGGGAGGCCTTCCTCCCAGCCCAGGGCCTGGAGTCCTGCGTCCCCTCTGTGGGCACCACCCCCATCTGTGAGCCCTCACTGCCAGTGCCTCTGCCCCAGCACCTGGCATGCAGCAGGCCCTTGGGATGTGATGGCTGAGTCTTCCTCCTGGTTCTGGACATCCAGGGTCTGCCCTGGCCTCCACAGCTGCTCCGGAAGACTCCTCCAAAGACTTCTGCAGGACACCGATGCCACTGGTAGTGACAGTGCCCAGGCTTGGTGGTCTGGTCTCCAGCCAGGTCTCCAGGAACGCAGACAGGAGGAGGAGCAAAGGGGGGTCTCCAGGGTGTTAAGCAGTGTGCAGCCCTGGCCAAGGCCCACTGCAACGCAGGACAGGAGTCCTCTGTCCATGCCTGGGAGGAGAGGGAGGCTCTGGCCGATGGATGGACTGGCTCAATTCCCACAGTGGGCAGGGCTCACAGCGGGTCTGCCCATTCGCCTCTGCATCTGGAAATCTTGGCCACGCCGCCTTCTGAGCTGGACCCAGGCCAGGCCCAGGAGCCTGGAAGACGATAGGGCAGGCCTGGGCAGGCTGGTGGAGAGGGTGTGTCTATGGATTCTTCGGGCCTCACAGCGGCACCTGAGTGTGCCTGGGATGGGGCCTCGGGCCTGGGCACACACCAGCAGGCTCTGGGGAGGTCTGCTGCCTTTGCTTTGCCTGCTGACCCTGGACCTGAATTTCTGCTGGGAGCCTGGGGTCCAGGGACGGCCATGCTAGATGCTGGCGTGTGTGGGGTGGCCTCAGGGCCCATTCAGGACCGGGCCATGCAGACAAGGCTGCTGAGGACCAGAGAGTCGAGCAGGACCCAGCCCTCAGTCCCAGCTGAAGGTGACCTTTTCTTCCTGCCTCTGTCCCAAACACAGGCGCCCAGGGACGGGAGCAGGATTAGAGCCCCGCCTCTGCAGCCGGGGGCGACCCGGCCAGCACTCCATTGACTACTTGCCTCAGTTTCCACATCGGTGAAACAGGCATACCCCCGACTCCCCTGGGGGCTGAGCTCAGAGCTCTGCTGTCTCTGGGGTTTCTAACTCAGCTCTCTGGCTCCTCTAAGGCTGGAGGGGCTCCTCTGACCGACTAAGGACCAGGGACACAGGGAGACAGCCTGCCGCTCTGGTGCCAGCAGCACCCTCCAGCCAGCCTGCTTCTTCCAACAGGACTGGGCCAGGCCTGGAGCGGGGTGTGGGGGCTTCATGCCTGTCGACCTGGAGGTGAACAGGCCCTTCTCCTCCCCTACGTGGGCCGAGGCTGAAGAGAACTTTAACTTAGACGCCCTTGAGTGATGCTGAGTTTCTTAGAATTCATCTTTTCAACTTCTCAGGTCAGCAGGAGACATGGGGGGGTTCCCTGCAGGAGCCTCTGTACTCCACTCCCAGGCACACGTGTGGACCCCTGCCCAAGACAGACCCACAAGCAGGCATGTGCACACCATCTACCGAAGGAGGCGGAGGCACTGGAGCAGTGGCTCACGCTCACGCCCCAGCCCTCGCCTGCACTGTTTCCTGGTACCCCCCAACCTGGTCCTGCACTAGCCTCGGGTGAGCCCTGCCCCGCCCCAGCCAGGAACTCCCCTGGAGCCACGGCTGGCACTTCCCCTAGCATGTGTGGACACGGCTCCCAGCAGGGCTCTTCACAGCCCTCCTGGCTTCTCAGCATTGGGTCAGGACGCAGGCAGGGCTCTGCCCGGTGGTCATGCTCTGTGGCCCTCAGCAATGCTCAGTGATGACAGCCACCCACACTGGGCCAGGCCGCGCTCCAAATGCTTCACATGCATGGACCCTCACAGAGCTCCGTGGAGGGAAGTGCCAGTTCCACCTGCAGCTGGAGAACCTGAGGCCCAGGGGTGTAGCCTGGCCAGGGCCCTGTCGCCACAGAACAGCAGGCAGAGGGAGTCCTCACTGTGTGACCCCAGAACTGGTGTCCTGCACGGCTCTCTGCTGGGCTCGGCTTGGGTGGCCGTTCCCCAGGAGAGGCAGTCCCTGGCCGTTACACGTGCAGAGTGCCAGTCCTGAGGCAGCAGGCACAGCTTTGGAAACTGACTGCCAGGAGTCTCCAGGTTCCCCCTCGACAGGTGCAGGACACGGCAGGTCTCCAGCCCTGCCCCGGGCGATGACGGTGTGGACACATCTTGCTGGCGTGGGGAGACAGGCCCTTTCCGTGGGGACTGGTGTTGAGCAGCTCGGCTGGGGAGGGCAGGGGGACTTCAGGGGCCCATGTGCAGCGTCCAGCACGACTTGCCCAATCTGGGGCAGGGGTTAAGGCCCAGCCACACCTGTGTCCACAGTCTCTGCAGGTCCTTGATCTCAAGCAGGAGGGGTTCTGGTGCCACTGGAACGAGCCAGGGCCCCAGCTGGAGGAAGACCACATGGAGAGACACCGGTCGAGGTCACGCAGCTCAGAGGGAGCTGTGGCTGAAGGCCAGGCCCCTCCCTCCACCTCTCAGAATGTCTGCTGCCCGAGTCCTGGCCATCAAGCCATGACTGCCTCCTGGGTCCCCGAGGTTCACATCTGGGCAGCTGCTCTGGGAGGCGCTGGGCGCCACTTCCCGAGGGGAGAGGCTGCTCCTGAGCCTCGTCTCTTCTCTCAAGCAAGCAAGGGCATGGTGGGCGCGGTGGTGGGGGTGACGCTGCCTCCGGCGCACTTCGGCCTGACCTGGCCAGGGCACGCAGCACATGTCTCCGTCCGGCATCTCCCAGAAGGCAGCCAACGTTGGCCAGCCTTCCTCTGTGGATCACGGGGGCCTGTCCCAGTCTGGGGCCTTGGCGGACGTGGGGACTCAATCGCCCACCTCACCCCGCCTCCCACCTTCAGGTATGGGGGGCTGTCTCCTGGGGATTCTTCTCGCTGTGGCTCAGGACCGTGGGAAGACTCACTCTCGGTTCAGAATCCCGAAAGGAAAATGACAATTATGGCAATAGATGGAAATCAGCCTCACCTCAGAGCTGCACTCCTCCCATGGCCATGTACCTGGGCTCACGGCTCTGTCCGGCCCCCAAACAGGGAGTGAACTGGTGAGGCCCTGACCAGCAGGAGCCAGAGTGGACATGGCTGGCTACGCGACAGCCACCACCACCTGAGGGGGCTGGACAGAGCCAGAGGGGTCAGAGCCTGCCCACTGCACAAACCCTAACACGGGCCCCAGACCCCCAGCCTGCAGAGGCCCCGAGCAGTCCAGGTTCATTTAGCTGGGTTTAAGGAGGAACAGGAAAACCAGTCATTCTCAACCACGGGCAATTTGGCCAACCAGGGGTGATTTTGCCCCCCTAGAGGGCACCCAAGAATTTGGGGGGGACATAAAAGATTGTCACAACCGGCGGGTGTTACTAGCATCCAGCGGGTAGAGACCAGGGCTGCTGCTAACCACCCCGCACCGGGCGGCCCCACAGCAAGGAGTCATCTGGCACAAAGCGCCATCGGTGCCGGGGTTGAGAAGCCCTGGATTAACTCTCATGCTGGCAATGGAATTCTGACTTTTACTATGGAAAAAAAAAAATGACAAGGCAAAAACAAGAGAAAAATCCAAATCAAAAAGAAAAAAACAAAAAACAAAAAACCAAAACACAAACAAATTTCTGGGAAATGAATAAGCAGTAAGGGGGCAGCACTGCTGGGGTAGGGACAGGCCGGAGACACGAGCAGGCTCTCCGAGGGGCCCAGAGCTGGCCACACGCGATGCCTGGGGCAGCGTAGGGTGAGTGAGCCCCTGGGGAGGAGGGGGCCGACCTTGGCCTGTGAGGGCCTTCCCCTGCAAACCAGGGGGTCTTGCCAGGCTCTGGGGCTGGGACACCTGGGGCCTCGGGGCAGGAGCCTAGGGAGTAGACCGGGAGTCTACGGTGCCCGTGCCCACGTGCCCGGCTCTCTCCACTCCACCGCAGCCCCTGAGCCTCCTCCCTGGAGAAGCTGCCTGCCTAGACAACCTCGTGGGAAGCTAAGGGGCTGCTGGGGTGCACCCCCCACCCCACGGCTCTGTGATGGCACCAGCAGGCAAAGCAGGCTGGCACAGCGCTCCCCTCCCTCCCTTCCCCTGCCCCAGCAGAAGCTCCCTCGACGCTCCAGGCACGCCAGGCTCACCCCTGCCCCACCCCCACCCTGGAGATTCGGGCAGCTCCAGGGGTGCTGCTTGCTCGAGGGTAGGAGGCTGGCAGCAAATGAAACACACACGGAAACAAAGAAACAATGACAAAAACCACAGTTTGAGCCAGGGCTTTCCCGACACCCCTAGCCGGGCGGCTGTGGTCCCTGCGTTGGACCGAGGCCCTGCACTTCCCAGAACGGAGACCTCCGCTGGGGACAAAACGGCCAGAGACAGCAGGAGAGGGAGTCTCCACACACAGTTCCAAGGGCTCACTCCATTTCATTCATCAGCATAAACACAGGGACGGGGCGGCACAGAATACACGGGACACGTCCATCAGCGGGGCTGGCGTGCTCTGGGCGGGAGCGATTGTCAGAAAACAAATGAAAGAGTGAGTAATAAACAAGCAAGGGAGAAGAGCGCTAACTGCCGGTGGCCGCCTCTGACAAGCGGTCCTATTTCCTTTCGCCTTTGGGGGGCGCCCTCTCTGCGAGGTCAGATGCTGCTGTGATTTGGGGAGGGTGAGTCACCCAAGGGAGCTCCGTTTGAGCTCCACCACTGCCCCTACACCCGTCACACAATGCCAGCCCCGACAGCCACGCGCCCAGGCTGGGCCCCGCGTGCACGGGACAGGGAGGTGGGCAGGGGCCCAGCTCTTACCCGCTTCCGAGAGGTCCCGCAGGGAGCTGCTGAGCGCGCTGCGCTTGAGGCCCTCGCCGCTGGCGTAGCTGTCGTCCAGGCAGGCCCGGCTCAGAGTCCCACTGCCTGGCTCCTTCTTGAGGCTGGAGCACTGGGACATGCTGGGCCGCACGACGCCCTTCTGCTTCTCCAGCTCCGCTGAAACATAGGTGGGCAAGGGCCCGGTGAGCGGAGTGGCACCCAGGGCAGTCCGGGGAGGGCGCGGGACTGGGGGCCCCACCAGGAGGGGAATGCAGAGGACTAGGGGACAAGCCGCCGTCTCCAAAGGGCAGGAGTGATGGCCCTCTTTGACCAAAGTGGCTGAAAAGAGACCCCAGAGAGGAGGCTGGAGGGGCCAGAGTGCCCGGGGTCTGCGGAAAGTCAGCTACTTTCCAGGCCTAGGAGTCGATGGGGAGGAGATAGATTTGCCCAGGTCTGGAGAGAAGCAAGGGTTAACCCAGCCTGGCCATGGATAGAGGCCACAGGTGGGGACGCCCCTGTGCCTCCAGGGTGGGAGGCTTGGAGCCAGGAGGAGGGCTACACTCGGTTTTAACAGAAGCCACGGGACAGCCTCAGCTTCGACTCCAACAGTTGGCTGGGTGCAGAAGACAAATACCAATCGCGCTCGAGGGCAAAGGGCTCAGCTCCAGGACTCTGGGGGCCTTGCCCCAGGGGGTGACCAGGGGACTGGGGCTCTCCCCAGGGCATGCGATGTGGCCTGGGCGGGTGGGCTGCCTGGTCATGTGGCCGTGGGAAGGCCAGAAGAGGCCGGGGCATCTCAGGTCTGCGGGCTCACGGAGGCACCACAGCGACGCCAAGTCCAGCGGGCCCCGTGGGATGCGGGCCCCGGCTCCCCTCCAGGCCTTGCACTCACTCTCTATCCTGTGCTTCTCCATCTCCTGCACCTCCGCGATGGACTCCCGCAGGTCATCCGTGAATTTCTTCCGGTCTTGGGGGTTGGGAGCATTAAAGTTTATTAGCACTTTGATGTCTGCTCCTGGGACGGCAGACGTGAGCCGGATGCCGTTGGGGTAATCTGCAAAAGAGGAGGAGACCATGGGCCTCAGTGTGGCTCTGCTACTGCCCTCTGGCCAGCAAAGAACCAGCATGTCTGAATTTGGTCCAGGTGGGATGGGCGCTCCAACGCCGGGCTCCTGGGGCCGTGTCTGTCCAGGGAGGAGAGGCTGCCCAGCACAGGCCAGAGGGGCCACCAGACAATCTCCAGCTCCCGATCGGGGTCCGTGTGGCCCATGTTGTGGGGGCAGATCTGTCCGATATGAGGCGAAGCCAGGCCCTCATTCTTCTCCATGTGAAGGGCCTGGAGCCCAGACTTAACTTCAAGGTCACTGGTCACTCTGCCCGGGGCTTGAGACTGGCCAGGCGCTGAGCCTGGGAGTGGACAGAGGTGTGTCCTGTGCGGGTGGGCAGCCTTATGCGGTCACCTCGGACTGTCCTGTTCTCTCAAACACCTAGAGTGTTCCCTAAACTCGGGAAGGGGGCCAGGTGAGACTGAGCAGCCGGAGAACCGGGGGCGGGTATGTGGCCCGCTATCGTCTGCCAGAGGGAACGCAGGCCTAGCGATGCCAAACCTGACTTTATATGAGAAACCAAGAATACCTAAATTTTATGTGACGATTTACATATCAGCTCAACAAATTAACAAAAAAAATCTCAAGCCAAATATAACATAACTGAGCTGGGACCAACCCACGGGCTGCCAGTTTGTGACCCCTGGTGTGAAGGCATGTCCTCTGGGAAGGTCAGGGTTGGCTCTGAGGGCATCTGCATCCAGGGCCAGAGGGCTGAGCCCTGGGAATCATAAGGTGATCCAGGCGCAGCCTCTGCCCGAGGGTTCGGTCTGGTCGGCCCACCAAGAGGGACCTGCTGGTCGGGACGGGGCGGGGGGGCACCAGCCTCCCTCGTGCTGCCTGGTAGAACCCAAGGCAACGTAGGCCTTCCGGCCTGGGGCGGGACAATGGTGGGGTCAGCATCCTGGGCTCCTCCCGGGCACGTGGGAAAGGAGGGGCTTGCAGGAGCTGGTCCATTTAGCGGAGAAGGGGTAGAGCCCCAGATCCAAGCCCCCAGGCCCCGTGTTTTTCGCAGGCCCAACCGTGGGTCCCTGGCACTTTTCACCCTCAGAGGGCAGGCGGATGGGGCGGGACTGTGGGACCTGCGGCTGGATACGCCCTGACACTCCATCGTGGCAGCCTCCTCCTCGGACCCCCGGGACAGCCCCCTAGGATGGACTCAGCCTGTAGCTCGGGGACCTCCAACAGGGAGGGGGCAAAGAGGGAGAGAGAAAAAAGGCAGGGGCGTGCAGGGCGAGAAGGAGCAAGACCAAAGGGACTGTCAGCGGCGTGTCCTGGGGGCAGCCAGCGCCCTTCTGGTACCCCCAGGCTCCCCGACCCACTCACACCATGCGGCTGTTCCAGCGCTTGACGTGTGCGGACGCATCTAACTGCGAGGCGGGCGCAGCCATCGCCGCAGGTGGACGAAGGGCACAGGGCCCGGGAAGGCCAAACAGCCAGGCCACAGCTCTAAGGCCAGAGCGGACAGCCCCAGGGCTCCCCTCCCACCACCCCCTTGAACTCTGCAGTCCCTCAGGCATTATTCTCATCTGATTCTTTGACCACATTTGCATATCACCTGTGCCATTTACTTGATGTTTTCCTATCAACATTTTATTTAAATAAACTCACTCTGCCCTAAATTAAAAAAACCTTAATGTCTGTAAGAAATCCCAGTGAAAGTGAACTCAGTGAGCCCCCGACCGCGGCACGACAGTCCCCCTGGTCACTGCCGGCCTGCAGCCGGCCCTCGAGTGGGAGACACCACCTGGGAGGATGGAGAGGAAGGGAGGGCGTCCTCCCTACGCGGCTCCAGGCCGCTCCGCCCCGCGGTGGCCCCAGGACACACTCACACTGGTTCTCGAAGAGCAGGACCTGCATGCCACACAGGGAGAAGGACTGTCGGAAGCTGTACGTCACCGAGTTCTTCTTCTTCTGGAAGATCTTGGTGACCTGGGGGTGGCCAGACAGAGACACTGAGCCACAGCGTCTGCGCTGCCCGCTAGCAGCCCCGGCGCTCAGGACTGTCAGTGGACCCGTCGGGGGCCGCGTTCCCCCGGGAGAGCCCTCCTGCAGCCCAGAGGCCAGGAGCCTGTCTGTGGGGGCGTGGACACTGGCTTCTGCTCCTGTGAGTCCTGAGGCTGTCCTGGCTGGCAGCAAAGCCCTCCACTCGGCAGCGGTGGCAGGCACGGCCCCACGCACGGCCCGAAGGCACCGTGAAACTTCTGAGGGGCGACTTCACACAGGAGGAAATGAAGGCGACTTGCTCAACGTCAGGGACTCGTCAATAAGGACTTGAGCCCACATGTCTGGATTCCAACCTCAGGAATCCAAGAAGAGCGGCTGGTCCTCGAGCAGATGGGGACAGAGGACAGGGGTCTTGGGTAAGAAAGCCCACTGTATGCGGAGGCGAGGGGCAGGCCCCGTGCTCTCTGCAGGAACATCTCTACCCCCGTGGGCTCGCTTCCGCGCCACCTGGTTTTTGGGCACGATCTCCTCAACTTTTCCTTTTTGGGGGAACCCTTTCTCTGCCACGTTCAGTCCATGAGTCCTGGGGCTGAGACCCAGGCCAGCCAACAAGGCAGCACCCCCACCCCTGCCTCCCTGGCCCCCGAGACGGGCTCAGGAGGGGGCAGCAATGAGACCGCTGCTCAGACTCAGGAAGCGCCCCACGCCGCCACCCCACCAGCGGCCGAGGTCGGCTTTCCTTCCTTGGAAGGGACCTGACCAAGACACACAAGGAGCTCGGCCGACACGGCCTGAGCTCCGGGGTCGGCAGGGGCCGAGCTCCCACGCCTCTCTGGGCTCCTGCACAAGCCAGCGGAGCTGGTTCTGCAGGCAGCAGTGTGAGGCAGGTTCAGCTCCTGGGTAACTCCCACCCCCCGTGCGTGTCCCGGGTTACACAGCCAGGCCTGCCCGCGGGCACCACGTACCACCAGGAGGTCGTTGAACAGGAATATTTCTCTCTGGTGCAGCCCGAGCTTCTGGGGCTTATTTGGGTCTGGAACCTCGAAGAGCCGGCAGTAGCAGACCAGGCGCCGGTGCGGCAGAGAGAGCACCTGCGCAGGGGGCACGGCCATGTCAGCCACGCGTGTTCTGCCCATGGTGATGTCCCCCCTCTGTCCTCCCTAGGGGGCCTCCCAGAGGTCCAGGGCAGGCACCCCTGCTTCCAGGGACACTGCCTTCTGACTCCTGTCAGAGCACCGTGCTCACACAGGACACCCCCACACCCCCAGCAACACGTGTCAACACGCGGCTTCAGGGTCCACAGGGCACCAGTCAGTGCCGATGCCCGTGGGCCCCACAAACACTGGCGGTCTGCTCCAGACGGGACCCAGGGCCGGAGGTGATGTCACGTGCAGTGGCACAGGCAGGGAGCTGCAGGGCCCAGGCTCCTGGCCCCCCAGGCCCCCCGGCCCTCCCTCCTAAAGGGCGGCCGCGGCCCGACGTCCCGGGGAGCTGGTGCCGTTCCCAAGCCCTCTGCACACACGCCCACCTGGCGGAAGCCCGGCTGCTCTTGAGGCCTGAGTGGGTCAACTCTGAGGGGCACCTGGGGGGAGGTGCCCGAGCTCAGGGAACTGCAGATGAGGGAGGGGACGCAGGTCCAGCATTGTCTGCAGCAAGTGTGACGGGGAGAGGACAGGGCGGGGGGCGTGGGGCTGGGGAGGTGGCCCAGGGCAGCACTGGGGGGTCTCGGTCCCTC